AGGTACCACTCATCTTTGAAAGCATGCGGCTAATGTTTTGCCCACAGCCGCCAACAGACAGGTGGAAGGAGATCAAATAATCTTCACGTTTTAAAAATAGTCATGAATTAGAACTTGGAAAGCGAGTCTGAACATACCGAAAGCCACAGATCAGTAGATTCTATTTAAGACACGATGTCCTCAGTTCTAAAGCAGCTTTGCCCAACATCGTACAAAATCAGATTAAATGTCCCCAGAGCTTCTCACATGACTGTCCCTCCTGTCTACTGCTTTGTTTAAAAAAAAATCCATTATTATTTTCTTTAAAAATCATCATCATAAAGACCAAAAGAAAAGTAAAAGCATATTTTGCCTGAAATATAACTCTTTCTATCCAAAGCTTTATAAAAAAAGAAAAAAAAAAAAAGCACTGTTACACTTTTGATCCTCAGAACCAGCCGAGAAGGTAATGGCATCACAGTGATAAAGGAGGCCATGTGTACAGCTACGCATGTTACTCATTGCACAGGGACTCCTAATCAGGGAGTCAGTGGACCACCTCCATCCTGAGGAAGCAACTCCTTTTTTAGAAAAATCAATATTTTTATAACTCTTTGAGATCTTCACACAATGCACGTTGATCATATTCATCCCCAGCTCCTTCCCTTAACTCCTCCCAGACCTACTCACATCTTCTACCCACCCCAACTTCATGTCCTCTCATCATTATTATTATTATTATTATTATTATTATTATATATCCCATCAACTCTAAGTTATGCTGTCCATATAGTTCTAGGAGTGGGGCCATCTACTGGAGTATTATAGACTTCTAGGAGCTACATCCTTGAGGAAAATTAACTCTCCCTCCCTAAGAAGCCATGAACTGCCCATAGGGAGGGTCAGGAACCCCTTTCTACTCTATGCTAGAATACTCAGTGTCTAACAGCTCTCGACCTCATCAGGGAAGTGAAAAATGGTGGCTAACACAGAAATTCACAACTAGTCAAATGGTAGAGCATAAGGGACTGTAGAGTGCACACCAACACACACACACACACACACACCTCAGAGAGACCATTCAAAGAGGCGATGAAAAGTCTGTAAGAGGTCAGGAAGACCAGAAGAAAACAGTGTCTTCTGGACATGACAGGAAGTTATTCTCATAAGCCACAGCAGCAATGGATGCCTACAGGAATTCCTTTTTGTTGATATGTTGGTTTCATTTGTTTGGTTTGGGGTTTTCTAGGACAGGATCCAGCTAGTTAGCCCAGTGAACACAAACATGTGATGACCATCCTGTCTCAGACTCACCATTGCTTGGATTACAGGCATGTGTCACCACACTTGGGTCCCTCCATAGTTATTAACTGTGCCAAACCCTCAGCGGACTATCTTATAAGAATTGCATCACATGTTGACTGAATGTACTTATATACATGCCCTCAGCTATACCACAAGACACACTAAATCCAACCACGTGAGCTCAGTCAACCCACAGAATCGCCAGCATTAAAAGCCTGTCACTAGACAAGGTCTCTAAGTTCTGGAATGATTTGTTGCACAAAAACAGCCAACAACTGCTGTGTCCCACCATCGCACAGCTAAGCTAAGCTTCGTGTTAGGTACAGTGGTCCACCCAGAAGAAAAGCAAATGAATCAAGGAGCACTGCACCCAGCAAAGCAGAACCTTGAGCCACTGTCCTTCCCGCTCATCTCCTGAGTGGCCACTGTGTCAGGGCTGGAAACACAGACTGCTGGTAAGACACAGGCTTCCGATTAGATGGGTTGAGATCCCGGCTCTCCTTCCTGCTAGGTGGGTGTGCTTAAAGAGTTACTGAGACTTCTCTGAGCCTCAGTTTCCCCCACGATGTGAATAAATCAGTCATGATGACTTCTTGAGCTGCTTGGAGAACTAGAGACAATATTGTGTTATTCAGAGCAAATGCCCACATGTATACACACATACATAAATATATAATACATACATACAGATATGTGTGCACACAGACATACATACACACATACACACAGAGTGAGAGAGATCGAGGAAGAGACAGAGGGAGGGAGAAAGAGAGGAAGGGAGGGAGGGAGGGAGGGAGGGAGGGAGGGAGGGGTTGCCTAGAAAACGCCTATCCATGTTTCAGCAAACCTTTTATAGATGTGACTTTTCTGAGAAAGCCTACCTGAAGTCCTCCGCGTAGGACTGCGGCAGGCCTCCCTACCACCCTGCAGGCTCCCTGTGTGAGGTATGCATCACCCATTGAAATTATGCTGACCTGTCATCATTTATTAATGTTGGGCTCACGCTTTAAAACCCATAGCCTGTACCTGAAACCTTTGTGTAGGAGTACTCTGCAAAGGAGTGTGTGTACGGTGTGGTGTGCGTGGTTTGGCGGACGGAGATCTGCTCCAGGAGTTGAAAGGGGAGGAGGACACACCCAAAAGTAACCTCTGACCTTCCAGAGGGTTGGTGAAGCCTAGACAAAGTGTCCCTCCCATTCTGAGAAGGCAGGGATCGTCTTCTCATGATGACAACCCTTCCCCAAAGGGCAGTTACAGTTTGCTTCTTGACTGCTCCCCACAGACTGTGTGTTAATGGTTAGGTCTCAGGGCAGCCCGGTGTGGATTCTGGAAGAGGTGGAGAATGGCAGAAAGAAATTGGGTCCATGCCCTTGAGTTGAACTTTGGGACCGCAGTCCGTCCACCCTTTTCTACTTAGCTGCCTGGCTCAGACACAAGGTTTGCTCCACCCTAGGTCCTGCCTTGAGATGCTGCCCCTCCACAGGCCCAGAGTGGCAGGGCAACTGGGCTGGGTTTTGTTTTTGGTTTGTTTGTTTGTTTGTTTGTTTGTTTGTTTTTGTCAACTTAGCATCAAGTAGCATCACCTGGAAGGATGGAGCTTCAATTGAGGAACTTCATCTTTCAGACTGGCCTGTGGGTGTATCTGAGGGAAAATTTCTTGATGAATGATTGATGTGGGAGGGTCCATTCCACTGTGAGGGATGCCATAACTGGGCAGGCTGAGCAAGGCATAGCAAATAAGCCAGTGATGTCCCTCCATTCCCCGTGCTTCAGTTCCTGCCTCCGGGTCCCTGCCCTGAGATTATGCTCTGTCTTCCCTCAGTGATGGACTGTGGCCTGGGAGCTGCGAGGTGAAATAAATCCTTCTGTCCCCAAGTTGTTTTGTGGCCAGTGTTTTCTCCATGCATCAGAGGAGCAAACGAGGACAGAAATTGGTACAGAAGTGTGGGATATTGCTGTGATGGTCCTGACCGTGGCGTTTGGGGGGAAGAACTGTGGAAGGAGTTTCATGAGCTGTTACAAGAGACTGGAAAGAAGTTAGCTGCGCCAGCCAGGGAGAGTGAGCCAGTAAACAGCATCCTCCACGGTCTCTGCTTCAGTTTCTGCCTTGTGCCTGAACTTCATGCAATGATGAAATACAGCCTGTAAGTTGAAATAAACCCTTTCCTCCCCATGCTGCCTTAAGTCAGTGATTTATTACAACAGAAATCAAACAAGATCGGGTAATTATGGACCGGAGCCTTCATAACTGTGAACCAAAGATAGCCATTTCCTCCTCGCAAGCTCATTACATCATCACAGCAGAAAAGGGGCCAACACAAAATGCACTGGGCACCCACTCCAAACTGCCAGTCCGAACAAAACATCTGCACGTGTGCCTAGAAGCCTGGCCCAAGACAAAGTCTACGCCAGATTCACTCACTCCTTCCTTTCTTCCTTCCTTCCTTCCTTCCTTCCTTCCTTCATTCATTTCATCAGCTGTTGCTGAGGACCCGGCAGGTGCAAGGCACTTTCTAATGTTTCTAGCTCCCAAAGTTCAATGAGCTATCCCAAAAAAAAAAAAAAAAAAAAAAAAAGGAAAATGTTTGACTTGAACTTCACCCCATATAAGCTCCCTCCCCTGGGAGTTGCCTCAGTCAGGGGGCTGGAGGTGAAGCCTCCAGCCAAACAGAAAGAAAGGGAAAAAAAAAAAAAAAGGAAATGAAAGGAAAAAAACAACGGTCTCCACAGCAACACTGTACTGAATACCCTACCTTGGGTCCCCAACTGTGTCTCTCTCAGCAATGGAGGCCCCTCCTGTAATGGAGGTTCTAACCACCCTCCCAGCACCCCGAGGCTATCTTCCAGGCTAGCCAGATCCCATGCTACAATTCACAGGCATCTACAGGGACTTAGAAGACTTAAAGGTACAACTCCTCATCTTACAGACACGAGATCTTGGCGAGAAGACCTCCAACCAGAGACCTAAGTGAACTGGAAGCAGATTAGCCCAGGATCCCACCCCACAGGTCTGGGTGACAACCAGTTCTCAGGAATGTTTTCCACTCTACTGTTAGCCTGAAGCACCATCCGAGGAGGAGCCCTCAGGAGGGCCATTGAACCCAAAACTGCAATATTATAAACAGCAGTATTTCAAAGACCTTATAACCATCAATCCTCTGATAAACACTCTTTAATAATTGATTACCTCACTCGAATCCTCGCAACAACACTAAGAGTGTGCGCTCTTATTCTCACACCACAGATTGGCAAACTAAGGTCCAGAGAGAGTGAGCTCTGCAGGGCGCCCTACAGCTATTTAGGAAAAGAGAAAGTCTTGAAACAGTGTAGCAACGCTGAGTCTACCAAGATCACAGCTTCAGGGCGGTGTTTTAGAGTTGAAGGAGGGGGTGATGAACTAGAAGGCTGGACCAGACAGTCCACCCAGGGAAGCCACCCAGAGCCAACAACCTCCGCTTGAGGCAAGCAGGATGCGGACGTGAGGCCCGGCACGGCAGCCTCCGCTCCTCCCAGAGAGCAACCTTCGAGGAATTCCGCCTCCACCCTCCCCGGTGCATCCCGAAAGCAGCACGCGCGCTGGAGGGGGACCCGGAGAATGGATTAGGACCCCTGAGCTTTTTGGGTCCTGTCACTGCGCGACAGGGGTAGGGGGCGGGGGGAGCGGAAAGTTAGGCTCTCGGCCGCGGGCACACCGCCCAGGTCGGAGGGACTGATACCTTTCGGAGGAAGCAAGCGACCACCTGCTCGAAGGGGTACTGGAACACCTGGTGAACGTCCACGGTGACCCCCATGTCGCGCACCCTTCTCCAGGCGCCTCGCCGAGCTCCGGCCACACCCCTTTTCAAACTTCTTAAACTTTATTGTACCCCTCGGAGACAAGGCTATAGGTCACACCCACGTCCCCTTTCACTTGTGTTCTTTAAAGATAGCACCGGAGACGCCCCAGACCCCAGCGACGGGGAAGCGGTATCAAACACGTGCCCTCCCTGGCCACGCCTGCAGATAGTGCCCTGCCTCTGAGCCACCCGGTTACACCCTGCAACCCTGCGCTTTGCAGCCAGATTTTTTAAGCCGTCACTGCTGGAGGTCACAGAATATATCTTCTGTTGACAGAACCAAATAGGAAAAAGAAGTAATAAATACATTAAGTCTCCGCCCTGAAACTGTGGGTGTGTGTGTGGTGTTACAACCTGGCTCAGCTAAATCCGGCCAGACAAAGGCCAGCGGCTGCAGGCGTCACTAATCTGCCTGAGGAGTGGGGCTGGGCCTCTGGCGAGGAGGAAGCTGCTCTCTTCCCAGAACAATCTAGGAAAGAGAGTTGGCCTCTGCGTGCAACTCTAGGAAGTTCCTTGGCTAAGGTTAAGCACCAGCCAGCAAGAAAAGGGATACAAAAGAAGTGTATCTGACTCTTCTTTAATAAATAAATAAAAAAATTAAATAAAAAAATATTTGAAACAAATGAGATAAAAAAAAAGTGTATCCCTTCCTCCAAAGAGCAGTTGTTACTAGAGGAAGCAAATGTTGCATTTATTCACTAAATTATTCACCTGTTTCTGCACACGTGCTGTGTGCAAGACACTACAGACTCAGCAGAGAATCTGACCTGTCCTGCTGTTGGGTAAAATGAATGCGGTGTGGGATTTGACACCCACTCAATAATGTGGGCAAGTCAAGTCACAGGGCCTAAGACATGGTGCTAGGTTGAACAGGAACGTTCCCAAGGTTTTGACGTCCATATTTGCCGGTGCTATTCGGGGTCACTCTGGAAGACAAACCCTCCCTTCATCGCAGACTACCACTGCCTCCTTTCCCTGCCTGGTTCCCAGGTCATAACCTGATGACCTCCTCACTCAGTAATAGGAAGCTTTTTACCTCTTCCTTGTGGGTGAATTTTCCACACTTAGTTTAGGGACAGTCTGTCTACCTGGCTTCCAAATCCAGGCTGGACAGACAAATACTTAACAAATCACCCTCCCTTATAAGGCAAACTGAACAGAGCCCTTTCTTCTCTAAGTTCCCAGTTCTTGTGATGGTGATGCTACTATGCTTAAGCTAATCTCACTATGGAATTGGGACTAGAGTACAGGACCAGCAAGTATCTCCACCATCCACATAGGGGTGGCAAAAGATAACCTCAATATAGATAATGAGCAAAGTAGCACCATTAACAAGTGATGCATCTTGAATATTTACTGCCCTCAGAAACAAACATACATAAATATATGTAATACCTTAATTAAAACTGTATAATAATTGATATTTAGTAAAGGCTATATTTGCAACCAGCCCCAGCACATCACTGAAAGCTCCTACCTTCTTGCCTACTTGAGGGCAACCCCCTAGCAATGGTCCTCCTCTTTCCTGTATCATCAGCAGCCACACCTACGAGATCATTACAGGCAGCACACGAGAACACTGTGATGTCTTCCACCCTAAAACAAAACAAAAAAGCACCGCCAACTCCCCGTATCCCTCCAGACAGCTCCCCTTCAACTGTACTCCTCAAGAGCGAGGCCTGCAATGTCCTGAGTCATTCTCATAGCTTTGTCCTCCACCATCCCACTCAAACTACACATGCCAAGTTCCTAGTGACAAAATTGCTAAGTTAAATAATTAATTCTTTGTGGGATTTTTTTTCTTTGATTTTTGAGACAGGTTTTCTCTGTAGTTTTTGATGCCTGTCCTGGAATAGCTCTTGTAGACCAGGCTGGCCTCGAACTCACAGAGATCCGCCTGCCTCTGCCTCCCGAGTGCTGGGATTAAAGGCGTGTGCCACCACTGCCCGGCTTGTGGTCTATGTTTTAATTCAAAACAATTCCTTTGTATTCCAGTTGAATAGCTTGTGCAACAAGAATATGATAATTATTTGTCTTCTTTTAGTTTTTCGGTGTATATGTTCATTATGCATAGTATTGTGTTGCAGAAGGTCATTTTCATACATTGAGCAGACCTTCCATATCCCCTGCCTGTGGAGACCCAAAATGTGAGCCTATTTCTGCTTGGTCTGAAGGTCAGGGAGTTTCAGCTTGCTCAAAGTTGTTCCACCAAGACCAAAGGTCAGAGAATTGGAACTTCTTCTATTCCTTCAAGGCTATTGTCTGTTTCTACCTCAAACAAAGCTCCCACCTAGACTGAGCTCACAGAGTTCTTCTCTCTCAAGGTTATTGTCAACAGGTGTGGTTAATATCCAGACCTTGTGTTTCAGGTGTTAAGAAGTAGATCTGTTTCTACCTCAAACAAAAGTCTAAAAATCCCAGCTAGGTTCCTACTCCGTTAGGGAGGTAACTATGGATTCCACTCAGGGAGTGCTTTGCCTACAGAATGTTTTGGTCTAGGATGTAAGCATTACTTGTCTCATTCTGGCAACAGAATGTTTTTTTAAAAAATGTTTTTATTGAGCTATATATATTTCTCCCCTCAGCTCCCTCTTTCCCCCTCCCCTTCTACTCTCTCTAATGATCCCCACACTCCCAATTTAGTCAGGAGATCTTGTCTTTTTCTACTTCCCATGTAGATTAGATCCACGTAAGTCTCTCTTAGGGTCCTCTTTGTTGTCTAGGTTCTCTGGGATTGTGAATTGTAGGCTGTTTTTTCTTTGCTTTGTGTCTAAAAGCCACTTATAAGCGAGTAATACTATAATACTATATGTGTCTTTCTGAGTCTGAATTACCTCAAGCAATATGATGTTTTCTAGATCCATCCATTTGCCTGCAAATTTCAAAATGTTATTTTTTTTTTCACTGTGTAGTACTCCATTGTATAACCACGTTTTCCTTATGCATTCTTCAGTCAAGGGGCATTTAGATTGTTTCCAGGTTCCGGCTATGACAAACAATGCAGCTATGAACATAGTTGACCACATGTTCTTGTGGTCTGATTGAACATTCTTTGGGTATATACCCAAAATTGGTATTGCTGGTAGGTTGTTTCTCAATTTTCTGAGAAATCACCATGCTGATATCCAAAGCAACTGTCTGTACCAGCTTGCACTCCCACCAGCAATGGGGGAGTGTTCTATTTACCCCCACATCTTCTCCAACATAAATTGTCATCAGTGTTTTTGATCTTGGCCATTCTTACAGGTGTAGGATGGAATCTCAGAGTTGTTTTGATTAGCATTTCTCTAATGACTAAGGATGTTGAGCATTTCCTTCAGTGCTTTCAGCCATTTTAGATTCATCACAACAGAATGTTTAACTAAGGATGTAACCTGCAATCCGTCAACTGGTCTAATTATTTCCCTGTATCATGTTAACCCAGTTTTTATCTTACTCCTACCTTTTGGGGTTGGGGTATTTTAAGCAAATGGAAATTAAACACAGGTGATTTCAGTATTCATTCACTGGACCTTCCTCCTGGTGCTATCCTATGTTTTCTGTGTTATTATTTTTACTCGTGTCTTTGTTCTCTTTAATAATTTTCTAATCTCCATGCCCCCTGCCCTGGTAAGTGGTATTTTTGTGGAAGCTGGTCTCCGAAACCTGCTCTCCTCTTTTCCCCCCTCCCTCCTTTATCCTCATAGTCTCTTTCATTTCTACTTTCTTTTTCATTTGTTTGCTTTTTGCTCACTTGCTTGGTTGCTTGTTTTCAAGACAAAAGGTTTCTCTGTAACCTTGACTGTCCTGGAACTAGCTCTATAGACCAGGCTAAACTCAGACTCAGAGATTTGCCTGCTTCTGCCTCCTGAGTGCTGGGATTGAAGGCATATGGCACCAATGCCAATGATTTCTACTTTCTTTGTTGCTGATGACATTTCTTTATTTGACAATTTCATGCAAGTCTATATTTTACTCATTTCACCACCCATGAATCTGACTTTCTGTCTTATCCCTCACATCTCCACAGAATTCCTTCTTCTCACTTTCTATTTTGTTTTGTTTTGTAGGGGTGTGTGTGTGTGTGTGTGTGTGTGTGTGTGTGTGTGTGAATCTAATTAGGGTTACTGGGATGGCCTTGGGTAGGTAGTTATTAAATGGAGCATGGACAGCCCACCAGCAGCCACAACATTGAAGAAAATGACTACCCCATGCCCAGAAACCATTAATTGCCAATATTCCTCATGGAGAAGGAGGGTGTCACCTCTATCCTTCCACTATCCATGATGAAATGTCAACAGGCCCAGTCTAGACTAGATCTTGTGCAAAGCTAAAGCTTATTGTAGTGTGTGAGTGCAATCGCCATGCTGTGTCCAGGAAGCTGTATCACAGAATTCTTCATTAATCTCTGGTTCTTAGATTCCTCTTTCAGTATCTTCCTGAACTTTGAAAGGGGTGATAATCTAGACATACATATATAAATGTCTAGATTAAGCCTGAGCACTTAGGATTCACTTATTCTCAATATATTGACCAGCTATGAATCTCTACATTAACTGTCTCCTACATAAAAAAAAATGCTTTTCTGACTAAAGCTAAAAGCAACACTGATCTATGGTTATAAACAAACACTTAGGAGTCAGTTTAACACCAGGTTCATTTGGCAAAACAATAACAGTAACATCCTCACTGGAATCCTCACTGGGACCTATGACTTCCACAGTCAAAAGTTTTGGCCAGGCTTGCAGTGCCAGGAATGAATTCCCTCCTGTGAAGTAGGCCTCCATTATAAGTGGAAAGCAGTTGGTTACTCCTGTAATAGTCATGCCATTATTGCACCAGAGGGCACATCCTGCCTGGAAGGTGTGTATTATACTGTATGGGGTACACAGCTAGGTAAAGCCATTTGATGAATTTTCACCACCACCAGGCTACACAATATCCTACCACACTACAAAAGCTAGCCAGCAGAGGGGCTTGCAATGTAAGTCAATCTTGATTTCTCTATATCCTACAATCATTATGCTTTCGTGTCATGCGTACATATGTTATTTTGTATATCTATATGAAGTCTAGGAACCACATGAGAGAAAACATGTATCTTTCTAAGACTTCTCACAGTTATCTCCTAGGGCGCCCATTATCCCACAAACCACATAACTTCATTCTTCATTATGGATGGAAAAACTTCCTTTGTCTATACACACCATATTGTCCTTATCCATTCCTCTGTTGATGGACACCTAAATCACTTCCATTACTTGGCTATTGTGTAAACTGTTTCCATA